ACGTTAAAGGTTTAAGAAAGTTTAGAGTAATTTTGGACACTTAAAGTAATTTTTAGACAGCCAAACCTGTCGAAGTTCCCGCTAGAGAACCGCGCGGCACAGCACTTTCTCGTAAGAAGAAAACCGCACGCGGTATTACAAATTGTATCACACACTTTTCACAATTCCTACAGTTTTCTTGTAAATTCTGAAAAAGTAAGTTTTAAGTTTACCTCAAAGGAAAGTCTAAAATGTTCAAAGTTACCTTTCGCATTTCTTATTTTGCTTAAGTAAAATTTTAAGGCTTTCTAAAGCACATATAGTTTCCCAAGGGCTACTATCTAGGGCATATTATACGCAAAGTACTCGCTTCAGTAAATTTCTCCAAATCATCTTAGTGGACGAATGTGTCACCTCCTCATGAATAAACATCGCTTCAAGCAGTGGACATCTCTCTTAGGCTGAGAAAAAAAAATGATAGAATGCCACATGTTGTACGACCTCGTTCGTCGCTTTGCGACTTAGCGCGGCGACGACTTTACACTCTCTATTTTACAAGCGTCTGAAACACAAAACTAGACTAATCTGTCTCGCTGGGACAGCCATGATACGATTTTAAAGGACGTTCTAACGTGCATTGTGGAGATATATTCCACATTACATTTTCGTAAAGATCTATTTTACTTGTCATACGACAAAATTTTTTTAGCGTTTGTTGAATACTGATTTTAGTTTGCTGGCAAATAAAAGTTCCGAACGCTCTCGCTTTGATACAACATTACTGCAATGCCGAGCACGTAATGCATTGAATGCGTAACGTTACAGCGTGCTAGCTCGGGAGGAAAGAGTTCTCTCAGATTTGGATGAGCTTTTAATACGTTTTCTAGCTCAAAATAAGATACGTGTATTTTTTTTATACATGCCCATACGGTGTTTGAATTTTCTAACTATTTAATCTCTGTCGCAGGCTTTAAATTAAAGCAATAAGGACATGGAAAAATGACAGTTACGACCTATGATGTTGTAAAATACAATAAGTGTAATAAATAAGTACAACGTGTAAAAAATTATTCGTCTGTATAAATTCTCTTAGTCCAGAATTAGATTTGACATTGAACTCGGTGGTCTCGTCGATCTTGACAGACATATGCAATGTCATACATAAGAATTTCTTTATGTCACTTTATGTCGCTACACATTTAATTATCATAATTAAAGAGTCGAATGTGCAATCACGGAATAAAAACTTCCGCCATTATATACAAATTTCCAAATGTTCTAGTCATATCCTATTGCAAAATGCAAACCGCGCCGCGTGACAATCATCTTTTGAGAGTGTGTATGAGCACACATATAAAAAAAGTTACGAGTCTCTTATTTAAATCGGAGGGGGACACTTCGGACCCTGTCCTTATCAGCCTTACCCACGGTGGAATAAGTTGGCGCGAGAAAATAAAATTCAACGACGTCACGCAGCGGACTTTAATGTCGCATACTTCCTGGGAAAATGATAGCTGACACACTTCGGCACGTCTTGCGGAAACGTGCGTCGCGAGGCATTACTTAACCACGAATTTAAGAAATAATATTTGGCGTCTCCTTAAATATTTGCCGGCCGTTCTGTAGATCTTCCGAGAACTCGTCACACGTTAAATATCAACATATTTTAGACTTGCTAGATTCAAATCACGTAACTTCCTAGGCGGGTAAAATACTAGTGCACCGACTGGATCCTAAATCCTCGAGCTTACCATTCAAGACAATTCACGACACGCTGTACTGAATAGAATAAGGAAATAAATCAGACGACGTGTGTATCACAAGCAACTTAAACACGTCGTAAAGATGTCTAATAAACGTAGCAAACTTCGATTCTTGTTTCGTCTTCTGCGTTCTTTAGAAAGCTACAAATAACCGACACGTTGTTGCCTCGCAAGAAGTCGAATTTTGTACAAATATTAGTGATACAAAGTTTCCCAGCTTTTTGGTTTAAAATTAGAAAATATAAGGACTATAAAATGGCACTGTAAATTGAAAAGATCGACTAAATGGGCGAGAATCGATAGTCTGTCCCTCTACTACTGGAAAGAATTCGGGTGCAACAGTTACTGGAATTTTGCTTTTCTTGCACATAGTGGCATCGCCGATGCAAAACAATTCTTGACAATTCCAATAAGTGAAACTGCTTTCGACGTGTTTGTTCTTGCGATAACCAGTCTACAGTTAACGCCTGCTTGAAAAGAAGGGAAAAGTTGTTCGATAGAGAGTGGCTGCACTTCCTTTCTCCTGCATAGAGATAGAATCGTATCCGTAGTAATTATTGACATTCCTAACTAAGATAAAAACACAATGGTCTTTTCATCAATCTAATTCACCCCTGAAATATACTGATAACTAATGCATTTGTCTCGTTATATTCTAGCATTGACAGTTTACGAACGTCAGTTGTTCACTTTTTCTTTCCTTAAACATACCCTACTGTCTAATCGGATTTCGATGTAAATCCTCACAATTTTTGCCCAAATAATAATCAATATTAATGAGATGTTTCACAACGCGTTGTTTTTTGTTCTTTAAATTCGAGAAAGTCTGTAATTTCTAGGACATAGATTGGCATCGTACGAAAAGTGAAATGTGTATACGTCGGCATAGCCTGATCGTGTAGCATGTATCATTCGACGTACATAGAAGAGAGATAATATCGATGTGATGATCAGTTTCACTGCCGCCTTTTTATATATTTCTACTCGAAGCCGTTAAGTTTCGCTTTCTACGTAAACCACGTAAACCATAACGTGCGGATTACCCGCTTGGTACCGGAGTCTTCGACCCTAGATAGTGCGGAAATCGGATGTAACGGTCCGATGTACGATATCAGCGCGTCGCGTACACAATCGCGTACAGAATTTAGATATACAATTGCTGCCCCGAAGACAAAGTGAAAGCGATCGATTTTCATTCAAGTGCATTTCCCCTTTACACTTCCGCTAATCGGAACACTAACGAAGAGAATGCTCTCCTACTCTGTTCAAGTCAATCAGTGCGTTATCACTGAAAACAGTTATAAGTGTAGCACTGAATAATTCCAGCTCTCTTATTATTTGGTTCCACCATGAATTTATTGTCCTTGGAGCGAAATCTGTTCAGCGGAAAATTCATTGTTAGATCGCGTAATCGTTGCGAACAAAGATTTGCGAGTGAATTTAGGTGTTGAAAACCTGCTATCTATATTGGAAGACTTTCCTCTATAACTGCGAATCAGCGATTATTCACTGTTTTCAGTGATAGTCCACTGATTATTCACTTTCAGAGAGTAACGACTGTATCTAATGATCACATTTCGAAATCAATTTACATACAAATTTCTTATCTTTTATAACACTTGAATCCTCTCGAGTTCGCACAAGTCAGAGAACAGCGGTAAATGAACGGGGCGAAGAAATGGAAAGCAATAACGATAATAAAGAACTAATGAACGAAAAATATTACACATCTCTTGACAATCTGCCGCGTCACAATTTCATCGCGCTGTCATAATTCCAATATGTTTGTCATCCCTTCTTTTCGTTTGCCCTTAGTGCAAACGTTACGCATTGATAAGCGCGCACAGGCGTGATTCGAATAGACATTTTTCCGAGGTGACAGCGCGGTCGATCGACTGATCAATCGATTCGTAGAAGAAAACCATCCGACGAAGAAAATCAAGTACAATGTCCGATCGTAGTGCTACACGTAAGACGTAGAACCGGTTGGAGGCTGATTGGCGTACTTTCTTCGATACGTCTCTACGCCGGCCGTGATCACCTCGCTTTCGAGGTCAATGTCTAGGCCTGGCAATGTATACACCCGAGATGCGATTGACTCCACTCGCATAGGCGCAACTTTCCTTGGTCATCAGAGTGACTGACGTTCGGTGCGCGAAATTTTCCAGCCTCTCCACGGCGCACAGATGAACGATGCGAGGCGCATGGAAAGCTTTTAATTTATTAACGATTTCATTACTGCGCTGATGAAGATTCGGTCCGGTCGAAACGTTCACAATGCTTCGTTTACCGTTGGAATAAACTATCAGTTTATTTAACGGCAAGATCCATTTCTGCTTTAGCCTTTGCCCTTTTCAGATTTGTTCTTAGCGAGCTTATTACTCCGATAAGTTTAATTATCGCGAAGCCGGAGGCGGTTTCAAGGAGAACGTGTTACACAAATTAATCGCTTTCATCTCCAACGCCGGTTTTATCGCCAGGTGATGTCAGATTGTTAGAGGAAAGTCTCCTGAGACAGGATTCTAATATGAGATAGCGGGGTTTGCTAAATTAATAGCAGGGGTTGGGAAGTAACTTCAGTTACAATTCAAATGCAGATTTGATATTTTTTTATTTTCATCGCAAGAAGGTAACTGCAAAGTAACGATTCGTTTTGAGTAACTGCAGCTGGTTACATTTTTAGCGAAAAAAAAAACCTGTAACTGTAACTAGATACTTTTATGAAGTAACTTTCCCAACTCTGATTAATAGGCATCGTCAGTTGACCATGAACTTATTGCCCTTGGGGCGAAATCTGTTCAGTGGAAAACTCACTGTTAGATCGCGTAATCGTTGCGAAAACAGATTTGAGATTGAATTTACCCAAGGAAAATGACAAGTCAAGACCAAATTTATGTCATATTTTGGTCAACGTGACTTGGCTTGACGTCATCTTGACTTACCATTTTTCCTTGGGTAGGCGTTGAAGACCCGCTGTCTCATATTAGAAATCTATCCCCTAATAGGAGACTTTCCACCAAGTACGGCATTAATTATCGTTAAACCCAATGTTCTCGTTGTAAAATAATGCTTGTCGCGCATAGACGGTCAATGAGGCGACGCGGGAACGTAAGTTTCGCGCAAAGTGGATCGACGGGTCCCCTCGACCCGCAGATGTGCCGATCTCGTAACGCGCGTGAGGCTTCTTTCGACCGCGGTGATTTCTCCGTATCACGCGCGGCGCCGGTACGTCCAGTGCATCTGGTAATTGAAGAAGAAGCGAAAGTAAAACCCCTCGGACGCGGCGAGTGTCGTCGCACGCGATTTTACCAGTGTTTAATGGCGTAATACGCGCCGCGCCGATTGCGCCTACCTTGCGAGAATTCCTCGCGTGGAAAGCGCGCGCGCCTCATCCCGAAGCTAAACGCGAAGCTAAACAGTGCCTTCCGCTTAAATTAGAAAGAAACGCGATTAAGTCGGCTCTTTAAGCGGAAACGGCGATCCAAAGTGGAGTAGAGTCGCGGAGGGAAGCCGCGAGGCACCCGCTCCCGGCCGGGCTTGTCGGCCTAAACGCGATGGGTGGACACAAAAGTCATTTTGATCCAGCTGCTAACTGAATCGCGTGTTGGTGATGCTTTCTACTGTCACATGTCACATGACTAAGTGCGCGATTGACCGCGTTTCAACGTCTCGTCGTCTCGTTAAATGTCGCGGCCGGATGACGGGTCCGCGCAGACCCCGCGAGTCTCTTCCCGCGGCCCGCCAAATAGCATATTAAACAAGAAAATTGTTTATGCGAATTACTGAATGCGGCCTCAATCGAGCGCCCGCTCGTAATTCCCTTTGTTCAAAATCGTCGATCATCGCGACGACGGCAAGTGTCGCGTTCATCGCCGAATGATTGCTATCAGCGGCTCCACCGACCGCCTGTGTCCACGGTTCATTTTCTACCTTAGACGGGGGGGTACGTAATGCGCGGAACGGCAATTAACGATACCGCCGAGGGATTTTCCAATTTCTTCGGGCTGCGCCTTCGCGAATCGAGCACGTAAGCTATAATGAGTCGATGGCCGAGATATTTAAAAGTAAGACACATGAACAAATGACGAAAGGGGATATAAGTCGGTCGATAGAGCGTAAGCTATAGCTAACGAGGCATTCACGAGCAAGCGACAAGTGACAAGTGCGTGTATAGTCTTTGCGCGGTGTTACGGTTAAACCGCCGCGAATGGTTTCGTGTGCGATTTAATTGACACGGATTCAACGCGAATTCAACTAACGCCTCGAAATCGTCTACGCGCTCCGGCGAAAAAGAAGACAGCGACCCATTTTGGGGCCCACGATCAGTAATCGAATTATTTCGATTGTCCGTAACTCTAATCTTTTACGGCTTTTACCCCGCGTAACTAAGAATCGCGATGAGCCATTCTATGTCCAAGATTTTTAAGCGATACTAATCAATTCTCTCAATTAGTTCCGTCGATGTTCAGTAACGCAAAGATAATTTTCACTTAAGAGGCACTAACCGAAATGTTGAGTTGCTTAACTACAAAAAAAGAGGTCCAAATTTTTCCCAAAGTAGAGTTACGAACAATTCAAATAATTCGATTACCAATTGTGGGCCCGAAAATGGGTTGCTGTCTCCTTTTTTCCCAGAGTGATACGACGGGAGAGACGCGCTTCATCTTCGCGCGAACTCTCTCCGGAGCTCGTATAAAGCGCGACGAACGACGAATTAGAACGTGAGATTCTTTTAAGGAGGAACCAGTTCCGAAATGGCTCACATTGTGATTGACATTTCAAGCTTTTTGTTGGCCAATTCCGGCCGCCAATTGCACGCATGTGCGATTTCAGCAAGATTCATCGCATGGATCGTTGCAAAAAGAAATACGTAATCGCTTTTTGCAACAATTCATGCAAGTATTTCTGCTGAAATCGCACGAGCGTGCAATCGTGTCGGAATTGGTCGACAAGGTGGCATGTACCTACGTATTTTCTTGCAACGATCCGCGTTAGAGAGACGGAAAGGTCGATACGCTGTTAAAAATATAAAAAAAATCACACAGCCCGCGCGTGTGGAACAATCGGAAGACCGAGTCGGCCAAAAAAAGGTATCTCTTGGCTCGAGTCGCGCCTTAGCAAAGCCAACCCTGCCGGACATAGTTCTACAAAATTCTACAAAAAAAAATTAAATATAACTGCCAGAATCTAAGAAATTCTACGTAAATTTAAAGTGTTATAAAAATCAACATGAAAATGCTAGAATTGAAACACTTGTTAATTTTGGTAATATTCTACAAGTAAGCAGACGTTTTAATTCTTTAAGATTTTGTCTCTCAAAGTTTTAAAACCAGAAATTTTTTCCACCAGGTTCATTATCCCGCGAGGTAGCATACCTTGCGAGAAATTAGCACGTCGGATAATCCCTCGGGTATAATTTTTCTTCCGGTCGCGGCAATGAAACCGCCTGGCGAAGATCGCTTATCTCTTACCTGAGAGTATCGTTGTTCCCCGGTGATTTCTCCGGCGTAATCAAAGACGATCACGCGTGACCCTCCGGCTCGTGGCGACGACCCTCTTCGCCGGTGCCGCCGCGATTACGACGACCACAGGAATATCGCCGCTGGGACACGCTCTCTCATTCGAGAGGGTCCGTCCGTCGCCGTAGTCGAGTCCTGAGCACCAGCTCGCCGAGGCGATCTCAGCGGGGCGAGCGCGATGCGACGCGTTGCATGGGGATCGCCACCCCTGTCGACGATCCATACGCGTACGCGGACACCATCATCCTCGGTCCCTGGGAAAAAGGCAAACGGGTGCGGAATCGAAAGTAACGTGGCCGCCGGCGCGACACGATCTGTCGTTTCCGCTTCAAGCGATAATGATTAGCTTTCACGTGTCTCGATTCACCACCTCGCGTCTCCGTCGCCGGGTTCTCGCGCGCGTTATCCTCGGTGACGGGAAAACACTACGGAGCAACGCTCCCTGGCCATTCCTCCGGTCGCGGAGGGTGCAGGCGCCGGCCGGCCGCCATCATAGAAATCAATACAACCCTACAACAGGGGAGCTTGCACCCCCGTTGTACGCGGGATTCCCTCAAACGGGACGACCCGTCGCTCTGGCACCGCTGACTGCGCGAGCGGGACGGCAAGTCCGCATCGCGGATCGCGAATCGGGATCGCATCAATTTCATCGCAGTTGACCTAATGACCGGAAGACCGTCAATCTTCCCACCCGTATACGAAGGTTGCGCGGGTCCTGTATAGAAATAAATCTCGCTCTTTTCACTCTTCCGCCCGTGCTTTGATCCGTGCAGGCCGATGGAGTCGCGGCGTCGGAAGAGAATAACGAGGACGACGAAAAATTAATTTATGCCACACGACTTTCTACGTGCTTCATCCTTTTTACCGCCTCACCTGGTGTCCGCTTTACTGTTCGCCGGTCCACCCACGCAGCGCGAGACTCTTCCGATGGTAATAGCACTCTGCCCTTGGGAAAATATACCTTTTAAAATTTTTAGTGACGGCGATCGGACATGAAAAGTCAAACTGCCGCAGTTAACTGGAGCTTGTTCCAATGTCCCTATCGCTTTTTAGTCCTGTCCTCAAGAAACGATACGTTATAACAATTTTGGCCCACTTCAACCACACTCTATTTAAACTGCTCTTTCAAAGTTCGATGGCTTCTCTTCTAACATGCAGGTAAACTACGTGAAAACATGGACCAGTCCTCCTTGCTAATCTTTTAAGTCAACCATCGTTTTTAGGCGCTTAACGGGAAAGTTGAGGAGAATTAGACGCGTCTAAAGAAACGCTCGCTGTTTACAATCGTGTAAGCATATAGGAAGCGGCTGGAAGCTGACAAAGTCATACGTGGAAATACGAAGAAAAGCAAAAGCGTAGGTATAGGATCTTCCGTTCAAAGTGTTCTTTAGTCAAACAAAATTAACTGCATTCAGCACGGAGAGAATTTTCTCTTAAAATTTATCTTGAAAGACATGCAATCGTGGGACAATATGGCATTTCGAAGAATTTTAAGAGAGGTCCCTGAAAATATCTACAAAATAGTACCACGAATTACAATTCTTTTGCTCTAGTAATGCGTCCCTGCATATATCCGCGAGTAAAAGTTATAATGTCTCGCATAATAGACTGTACTTCCGAAATTTATCATAAAACGTCGGACAACCTTTCTGACCACGACTGTACATATTAGAGAAGTGTTTGAATTTATTTCCGGAGATGATTCCGTCCGGGAAAAAAAATATTGCCTCAAAGTAATTTACTGAATATATCAATACACAGAAAAATGACGTATTCTCTGTAATATTATTCAGGTAGATTGCAGCGATATTTCCGTCTTTGCAAAATTACTTAAAAAAGACAATAGAAAAGCGCGAAGAACTCTCTCTTATTTATCATAACTTTTTATCCGCGCGCCTTTGCATAAGTAACGGACAATCGGAAATAAATCAGCCTCTGCCTCTTCGGCGGATCCGAAAGCGTCGCCTCCCTCTGCCAGCCTGCCGCAACGCCCTTGAAGAAGAGATGAGCGAAGGAGGAACGCGGCAGGTCTCAACGAGGCCGACGATCGAGGTCAGGTTTTAGACGCGCGTGACGTAGCACCGTCTAAATGGATGGTACCGTTGCTCCAGGAGGAGGACCAGGAGGAAAGGAAAGGGCACGCGCGAACCACGATCTCGCGCTTCCTCCTCGGCAACTCGCGAAGCATCGGTACCTGCTATCCGTAGCCTGGACCAGACGCCTGTACTGACCCACTCTCACTCTCACCTTTCTCTTTCCCTCTGTCTCTTTTTTTATTTTCTCCTCTCAAGACCGGCTCTGTCTTCTCGCGCACGCATTATCGAACTGATAAGATTTACACGCGTATAACACGCACCTCTTTCGCAAGATCAGTTTGCGTTCAAATACAGAGTGCTTCAAAAAGATGTTAATATTCACACGAAGACGAGAGCCCGGACAGAATTGTGTTGTACTCTTAAGACAATGATTTACGTTCTAAGGGCCAGTTTCACGAATGCCGGTTACTGTTAACCAGAGTTCAGTCGACTCCCTATCTTTTTCTATTTTATTATCTAAGAAGAGACGGAGAATCAATTAACCTGAGGTCAGCAGTTAACCGACGTTTGTGAAACTGGTCCTAAATCCTTGTCTTAAAGTAAACGCGCAATAACTGTCTTGGGTCTTGGGCCGGTTTTTCCATTTTCTGGTTAACTGTTAACTAGAGATCAATCGACTCTCCAGCTTTTTCTATATTTTTATCTAGGAAGAGACTAATCGGCTGACCTGATTAGCGAGAAAATGGAAAAACCGAGCCTTAAAAGTACAAGACAGCCATTCTGCTAGGCCCTGCGTCACCTAAGGACAGACTTTAAACATAAAACAAACCTTGCCTTAAGAGTACGAAACAGTTATTCTATTCAAGCCCAAACTTTTCAGAAACGTGCCTCAAGACTCTGAAGACTATGTGGAGGAGATTCCTAAAATATGATGGTTGAAGATGATGAACGGGTAGAGAGTTTTTGGCCCACATTCTGAGCCCTCTTTTATCGATAAAAGCTGATGAAAAAGGGTTCAGAATACGGGCCTTTGAAGACAAAATACATTCATTGCTATGATTCTCCTAGTAGCACAGTGCATTGACCAAACATTGGTTGAACATTGGCCCAACATTTGGTTGTGTTGGTGTCAGCAATTCTGTTCCTCTAAAGAAAGTTTTTTTCGTACAAGTGTCAGCATTTACTTGAAACACCCTGTACAGCTACTCGAAGGGGAGAAGATAAGAAAAAAGAAGCGCGCGAGATACTGCAAGGATTGCAAATAAGTTGCCGAGATAAAACGTACGAGGAATAGCACGTGTCCTGCGCGTACAGCTGCGAGCGAGAAAAAAAAAGTGATGCAGGTTGTCGACACATCTCATTAGCAAACCGGTGTTAAAATTCGGAATGATACGGGACAAATACTCCTCATGCGGTATCTTTGATCGCGTGACGCAAGTGACGAGTCTACACGGAACAGTAAATCGTTACGCAATTCGCGATACGGCCAATTGCGACAAGCACGAAGTATCGTTAGATGACGATACCTGCAATTGGGCTACATTGCGCCGGCAAACGATTGATAATTGACTAATTGCTGCCCCGGCGCAAGGGATGAACCGCGAACACGCCGTCAGTTGACCACGTCCGGCCGAGATGAAGCGCGCACTTGCAGCAGTTTTGCTTCACCTATGGTGGAATTCTCTCCCGGAAGTATGTTCCTCGAGGTAAACGACTTCGTGCTCCTTTAAAAGTCATTTTCGCCTCGTTACGCGCTTCGTCGCGGCGACGTCTCTTATCGCTTTCGAATATCGGCGATAGAAAAATCACGCGCGGCGGTTTTCCGTCCGAGAGACGCGGAAGGGAGCGGGTCCCGAGGTTCGATCGATTCTTTTTCTAACGGATTAACACTATTAAAAAGCAAACAAGCAAAAGTTATAGACTAAAGCGAGCCGCTGTTTCCTAGAAACTGCAAGATAGGATGATTTGTAGCTAACGCGGCAGGTCCATGGGAAATCGTTGCCACGATGATTAATGTTGTTCGACGTTTACGTTACTTAATGCTCAATTTGATAACAACGCGCCTGTGATACTAAACTCCTCGCACGTTTCTCGCGGGAAAAAAGAAGATACGAGTTTTCCAACTCCGTACTATTGTTTCTCCGCAGACAAACGCGATATTGAACCGCTCTTTAACGACCTCTCGCGCGATCAAATAAGTTACCTAACCGAAAAGATAAACAGCAGTTCTATCTCGCTGGTGCACGTAGAGCCTTATAAGACTCAAATCTTTCCCCCGCGTTTAATGTAATGAGAATTCCCGGTGAGTCATGTTATGCAGAGATACGAATAAAACGACGAGCGTTGACAATGTTGAACAAACAAATTGCGTTAGCAATGATGGATGAAACCGAAGAGAGCTTCAATGACGAGAGACGGAATTTTTCTCGCAGTTTGTTCAGCGAAGATGTCAACAATTGCACTATGACGTCGAGACCAATTCTGCCAGAACACTACGTCAAAGGTAATACGCGAGGCGTAGACGTTTGCATATGCGTTTCTGGCACAAATGATAAGCAATCATGTGTAATAAAAAGATAAAACCTCTGTGCAGAGATTAGACCGCCCTCCGGTGCACCTGTACTGGTGAACTTCAACATTTTAGTGGTAGACATTAATTCCATCAACGTTGAGGATATGGATTTTCGGTAAACTGAAATGAGAAAAGCTCCTTTAGAATTACAGTCAGAGATAAATCGAATGAATTCAAATGTATATAAAGAATGTACACGGAGAGAACTACATTTTACCTGTAAAATGTATGGTAAACTCTTTCAAAACTCTCTCATAAAGTTCTTCAAAATGCCACGTTGTCCCACGGTCACATGATTTTTGCGATAAATTTTAAGAGAAAATTCTCTCCTTGTAGAATTTAATTGATATATAATTAAGATCTTCTTAATTTAAAATATAAAGTCTATAGGTGTATCTTACAATAATGTATATATTAATTAGCGTGGACATGTTCGTCAGTCAAAGTTGGATAGAATCTCGACTGAATATGCCTGAAGAGATTTTCGAGGAAGGCGACGATTATGTCATACTTCCTCCGGAATTTTTCGATAATCTCTGGCAACCGGATCCATATTTTTTAAATTCCAAAGTTTCCGGTAAGCAGTAAACTGCGTTATCTGCACGTTGATAAATCATTACGTATATTGACCTAACTTTTCAGAGATCGCGACTCTAAGCCATAAGTTCTCATTGGTCACGTTGTACCGGAATAAAACCATTAAATATTCCGCACGCATTAACGCTATAGTCGCCTGCCAAATGGAATTCCAGTTGTATCCGATGGACATTCAAATCTGTCCAATTTATATAGAGAGCTGTAAGTTTCAAACATAAATGCAAATGCACGAAGTGCACTCGACAATATACAAATGTCGCATTTCTTTTTTTTATTTTTGAAATAAAACTCGGTAAATTGATCCGCTTGTTACAGTTTGAATTACTTGTTGTAGTTTCCTATAACAACAAGAAGTTACGCTTAAAATGGGGTGCGGGCGGTGTTACGGTGAATCCTGAATTGAAGCTTCTGCAATACGACATTGGGAGGCCTGCGGCACTCGAAGAAACTATAGATTATATGCTTGAGAAAAATGGTATATAAAGATTCAATATTCACGTGTTCCCTTCATTTAAATCTGAAATTTAACAGCTTGATCCCTTCGTCCGACGTTTTCGTTCCAGTCATTACATATTGTACGTTGTTAAGTTAAATCCTTAAAATCCAAGAAAACAGTGGCGCGTTGTTAACTACAGCATAAATGATGACGTGTAGAAATAAAGAGAAATGAATTTTCGTAGGAAATTTCTCGCGGCTGGTAGTTTTCCTTCGTTTCGAGAGGCAGATCGGCCACCACTTGATACAAACGTTCGCACCGTCGACTCTGGTGGTGATGCTCTCCTGGTTCAGTTTCTGGCTGGGCTTGGACGCGATTCCTGGTCGAGTGGCACTCCTGGTGACGAGTATGCTCACGTTGGTGACGATGTTTACCGGTCTTAAGAGCGACATTCCACCAGTGGCGTATATCAAGGTTTGCGAAAGTACTCCAAAGCGTCAATCATTTCTCTTATGCTACTTATTATCGAATCCTCTGTACAACGTGAATGATCTCGTATTGATATACATCTTCCCTTACATAACAATTTACACGTTTGCTTACGCAGGCATTGGATGTCTGGATGGCTGGCTGCATGATGTTCGTGTTCGCAGCTCTGGGTGAATTTGTCGTAGTCAAGGTGCTCGATTTGCCACGCGACAAAAATGATTCGCAAGATTCCATGGAACCTCGCTCGGTCTCGGTTTGTATCTAATACTGCCTCTTAACAATTTTGATCCTAGAAGGCTGTTACAGTTGTATTTCATCCATGGAATACGATTTAGCGATTAACAGCGATGGTGAAGAGACATAGCATTTGGGATGATGAATTCGTTTACGCAGCCAAGCCGAAGAATAAGCACGTCAATAATCATCTACTGTCGACTCTATGGCTAGATCCCGAGTGTCAGATAATGCAAACGCACAAAACCCGCTCTCAGAAAATAGATTGTTACAGCAGAATTGTGTTTCCTATACTCTTCTTGCTCTTCATCATTCTATATTGGCCGATAATATTGCTCAAAAGCGCCATAACAAAATGACATGCGTCCTATTGAATCTTTATTATTCTTCCATACGCATAATCAACGCTTCCCATTCTTGAAATTTGTGAAGGAGTCAAAGGCGTCGTCGTCGCGTCGATTAAAAATTAGAAACGTATCACGAGTTTGCGTGTGATAAAAAAAATTTTTTTTGTCGGCATTCGTTTATCTTTTTACACAATACTGTCATATATGTACATATACTATCAAAAAGTATTCGGTTTACCAAAGATTTAAATAAAATTTAATCAGCACCTACTTCTTCCTCGGATAAATCAGATTCGTCAGATGCCGTAATCGCAGAATGCATCGATACATCTTTCGCAGATTTTAAGTCTCCTATCCTCAGTATGTAGTCTATCGTGTACTGATTAAAGTCACATCTGTAAAAATATTTCCAATTACTTCCATATTTATGGCAACGTGTATATACGTATACTTAAGAAAATGCAACCGCACTTACATTTTGCTGAGATCATCGTATTTCTTTTGCATATTTTTATGTAGCATTAACAGCACTGGCATCTGAAGCGCGGAATTTATCCGTGATCCGTATTTCGTCAAGATTGTTTCCACCCACAAAAGATAGAAATGTATGTGTCTGGTTGATTCCAATTCGGACGCTATAAATTTCAGTAGCTTCTCGATGTAAATGTCTGGCATACTCGTCGTTGTTAATTCAACTGTAACATAGCGAGAAATCAAACGAATATTCATTGCATATCAAATCATCTATGTTACGCTCATTGGTGTATTGAATAAAAAATAGATATGAACTCACTTTCTTTGTACGGAATGGTCTCTATAACTTGCTGCGTTAATAGCTTCTCGTTCAACTTCAATGCCATCATTAATGCTAAAACAGCAATGCAGCAGTTATATTTATTTGTGATCCTCATTATTCTAGTATAAAGATGTCTATACCTTTTGCGTAGTCGCGTTTGTCCAGTGTTTCCTTCACAGTATCCGGAGTGACTCCAAGCTCCAATTGAAATGGATCGAACATCAATCCAATATCCAAAGAATATATCAGCAAACCTTCCGTTGTTACTGCCGCCCATGCTTGCCCTGTTTTACGATACATTTAAATACACTCATCTCAAAAGCGAAATAAATAATCAGTATCATTTATTTCTACCTGTAGGAGAGAATTGCAAACAAAGTACTCTCACTTCCGGTTTGACTCTCCTGCTTGCCATATCTCCACTTTTAACGCCTGGCAGTCGCAACGATATATTTCCGCCTTCGCGGTGCTCGATTAATGCTCTATTTCCAAACTCAGACATGTACTTTCTGTTTATAACGTCCTGCCAAAATAGGGATTACTTAATAAATAAAAGCTTGGATCGTCTTGTAACGTGACTCCACGTTTAAGCTTAATAAAGGAGAAATTTGAAATCTTGTATAATATACATTATTGTCACTTACATCGACACCATCCAGAGATCTGTTTTGAGTGATCTCGTATTTTTTTAACAATATCGATTCTTGAATATTGTAAATGCACACGTTCTTGGAACGGCCACCAGCTAATATGCACGTACCGTCAGCGGAGTAACATAACGTAGTGAAAGCTCTGAAAAATAGGATTGAAGAACGTGTCGTTAAGATCACACGCATTAACCGCATAACATTTCCTTCAATGAGTTACTCACTTGGACTGCAAATTCTTTTTCGCTGTGACGAGATCCGTTTTGGATCTGCCAGCGCCTAAATCGGTTCTGCCCTCAATAAAGCCTATCTGCCTTGCCGTTTTACATTCAAAAAATATAATCTGCCCGTCCAAGGTGGCGACAGCGACTTCTTCTCCGTTTGGTTTGTAAGTCACGCACAGCGCATCAGCGGTTAGTCGTATGGTCTCGTGCGCGGAGCCGTTTTCAATGGCATTCCATATTTTCAACGTTTTGTCCCAGGATGCGGATACCAATTCCGTACTGGCGGGGCTGGGATTGAATGCCAAGCTTGCAACAGGTCCCTCGTGACCACTTAATATCTGAAATCAAGTATTTCATTAAATACATCAATTTTGTGCTTGGCTTAACATAAATATGCAATTCTGCGGTTGTTTACAACGGTAAAAGTTAATATCGCGCGAATCAACGTTCGCTGACGAGCAAAATTACACGCACCTCTAAGAGATTCCCGAGCTTCATGCTCCATAGATACACGTCGAAGAAATCTTGACCACCCGCAGCGAGAAACTCGTCGCTCGCGTCGATCGCCAGGCAGGAGAATTGCACTGGACGTGGCGAGGTGAGAGTACGGAAGTTTCTGTACCTCGCTAAATCGTACGCCCGCACCGTTCCGTCCAGCGAGGCGGACGCGACGAATTTACGGTTGTGACTGAATAGAACGCTGGTTATCGATGACGTATGCTCGTGGAACGTAACAGCGCAAAATCCAGTTAACGTATTCCATAGTTTGACTTTCCCGTCGTCGCCACCCGTTATAATGTACTGGCCGTCGGGACTGTACGCCATATAGTTCATATTAGTTCGGTGCCCTTGCTGTTTCATGGCGTATGTCTCACTTTGCCATTCCCAAACCAGGAGCTGGCCTGCGTGGGTGCACCCTATGGCTATCCAATCTCCGGTAGAATTCAACGCGATCGACGAAATACGCTGTCGAGAAATGCTGCAAGGCCAGTAATTCGGTTAATCTCTAATATCACGTATGTGTAAAAGTTCAATCATATTTTTTTTAAATATGTTACCGCACCTTAATGAATGGATCAAATTGGCGTGTGGCATCTCGTATAAATAGAAAGAACCATTATTAAATGCAATTACTAATATCCGAGTGTCCTGATGATATGCAGCGGCAGTAAGTTTTGCATCTTTGTATTGCTTGTGAACTTCGTCCGCCAGATAAAAAGTCGCTCGCTTTTTGTAACCCAACATTTTCACTCCCTTCTTATCTTGCTCTTTCATAGAAGCTGTTGCTTCATCATCTTCCGGCAAGTCGTCTAGTAAAATATGCGTATTCTTTTTAAATTATTTTTATATGTTATATTATTACAAATTGCTGCTACATAGAGTAAAATCATTTATTTTATCATTTATGTTTTACTATGTTTTACAACTATTTACAAACACTCAAAGAAATTTCATCAAATGGTAAAAACTCTTTCTTACCGGCGTTTAATTGTTCAGTACGGGTTTTTAGCTTCTCTGGCTTCTCTATAATTTTTTCTACATCAATATCATCCTCGCTATCACTATCTTTGGGTCTTTCCTTTTTCGAAGGCGGTTGCCACTCAATCCAATCATCTGGTTCAAGCGTACTTTCCCAAACACAAACTCGGCCGTTTCTGTAAAAGAAATTCTCGAAAATGTAGAAACAAATTTAAGTTGTCTAGGAAATAACATTTCTTGTCCAGCAGCAAAATTAGTCAATTAAAAACTATTGCGTAAACGTTTTAAACCGCATCGCTTACTTGCTAATAGTGTACAGGTCATATTGCTTTGCTTCAAAGAAACAAGCTACAATGACGTCAGAATGACTGCCCAATGTAATCCACCTAAAGTTCGCCCACTTTTGTAAGCTATATATCTTGACGGTGGTGTCCTTTGAACCGACTGCTAATAGTTTCGAGTCGAAAGACCAACTGACGCACGTGGTTTCAGCGGTGGCACCGTGGAACGCACGTTCCATAACAAATGGATTGTAGTCCCCCGTTTGTAAGCCCGGCGCATTGAAAACGAAAACTGAAACACGAAAAATAATGTATTAGTTAAAAAAATTGTGTAAATACACCTCCGTAAGTTTAGGGAGCAAACACTTACGACCGCCTCCCTTGCAAACCGCAAAATGTTTTCCGTCTGGAGAAAACTTGACGCGCTTAGGGTGTCCTTTAAATCTATACTTGTGCAAAATTACTTTGCTTATCAAACTGATGATATGAGCTTCGCCATCTGCAAATATGTTACAAAGTTATATTTTCTTCAACACAACTACTTCTTCATAAACATAATTAATTAAATAATTCTAAAGTGCGTGCATACGGGAAATCTTACCTGTGTTAATTGCAACCAACATGCTACCATTTGGCGAAATATCGACAGCAATATAATTAAATCTACTTTCCACGGGAAGCGTCATAGATTTATTGCTGAAAAAGAAGAAACGTTTCTGTGTGAAATTTAATAATAATTGTCGCCATATCTTTCTAAGTTTCATGAAGCTCTTTGACACCTGATTCATACAGACTAACATTTCAATAATTCTTATATTCCTATGTAAGATTAATACCTTACGATTGCTTACTTTTTTAAGTCAAAAATCGTGATTCTGTTGCCCACAGGGCTAATAACGGACGATCCATCTGGAGAAAAGAGTAGGTCTCCTCTGTGATAGACCCTGCCGAGTAAGTTACTGAACTGTAACAAAACATGAGAAATATTACTGTAATTTTCAATTTTCACTTGGTCTGTGTGGCGATCGAATAAAACCCGACAACTTCTGATCGGATTGAAACTTGGATCTTTGGCTCGTTGGAGCAGCGCTCAACTCTCTGCGCCACGATCACCGAAAAGAGAATGTACGTACATTTCTTTTTTAAGTTTACCCTTTTATGGAAACGCCTTTCAACCGCGTTAGGTTATGTCAGCGTGATATTTCTAAAAATTCAGTGCTTAATCTTGATTAAACACTGAATCCAACACTAGACGCTTAGTTCCTTCAAGAACTTCAAGCACTAAAAAATGTATGTACAACACATCTTATAGGTTAAAAAGGCGTAACTTCATTGATAACTTGAGCAATACGATTTACAGAAGAGTAAAAAATTATATACTGCAACGTTTTTTTGAAGATAAAAATATTCACCTTGTAAGAGAACTTCATCTTTTTTTCATTGACGTCGAGCAAGTATTCACTACGTTCCACGTGCGCGCGGTACAACAATCGCCAGAGAAAAGCATGAGAAGCATGAGAGCTGCCACCCTTTTACGTGATCTTCGAACGCGACACGCCCTCTGTGGACATTGAAAGCGTGGACACGAACTACGTAGCCAACGTCCACGTTTGGGCTACCAGGCCGGATAATGCAGACGCACGCTTTGGTTGTATTCCGTGCTACGTGCCTGAAATGTCGATAAACACAGATGAGTTTATAGAGATTTCTCGCGCAAAACGAGATTGCTACGTTTGCTACCCAATTGCAAAGAAAAGAGGAGCGCCTCTACAAGTTGGTCTGTTTTTGTCGGATAACATTTTCATTTCAATAACTAAAGCGAACTACAACGTTCAGTTCAATCACAATACAATCGCAATGATTATCCGACGTAAACGGAGCAATATTGTGTGCAACAGAAAATTAGAATACACCCTGTGTATACAGCACCAAAACTTTCAGAAACATTTCAGAAACATTTGTAACATTGCAATAATGTTTTCTGAAATGTTTCTTTGGTGCTGTATGGGATATAAATCGAATCGACCTTTCTGACTTCGTACTATTTGGAACAATAGGCTGGCTCACTTATTTATGATCTCATTTGACTCTCATTTCCCGCACATTGTAATAATTTACCGGCGTAAAAAAATTTGCCGACTGCAAGACGAAAATTCAAGGTCTTTGAAAGTCCACGAAAGGGACGACAGATGGCGCCAATTGAAATTCGGAGGACTGAAAATTCCACGGGCAGCTAAAAACTTTTCTTATCAAAAAACTTAGTCTCGAACTGTCAACACATAAAGGACACAAAAAGTGTCAGAAAAATATAATTAGATAGGAAATGATTTGTAAACCATAGCGATTCCGAGAGTTTCTATAATTTTTAATCTAAACGTTGAAACACGACCGCGTTCCAACTCTCAGAGTACGAAGTCGCGGCGAAGATTGAAACTGCTCGAAACTGCTAACGTAAATTTTTACACGAATATCACGGCACTCGGATTGAAGAGTTGAAAGTTTCTTTAGTGAGTGACGTAATCGGGTCAGGGCCGCGATACAATTTTTTGACGAGAGTCGAGTGGTACAGAGCCACGGCTAACGTACGGCGTACGTATACAAATGAGATAACTTGCAATCACAAGACGCGCGCGTTCACGTAATTTCCTTTCGTTATCTCGGCCAAGATATTGAATATATTCCACAAGTACGCCGTTCACCCTACTCTTCGAAATTCCGCGATAGGCAGCGACTCAGCTGACGCACGGGCGGTTCAAACGTCCGGTCATGTGCCTACCGTGCGAAAAAAAAAGGAAAGAAAACGGCGAGGCCACCGGAGACGATTCCAGCCGATTGTCCCCGCGACTCCTCGGGATCGTGGACGAACGTCGGCGCAGATCGACGGGCGGGCATTCGCGCGACAATATCTCGCGGCGCGCGCGAGACTCGCGCGGGAAAGCACGGGACGGGAAGGAAAGTGTTGAGCGGAAAACGCATGTCACGCGCCCGCCCGTGCCGAGTGCGCGCGGCGGATGCGCGTCGACCTTGGGCCAATCGCCGGGCCCAACGTCAGCCGGCCGGGGATGAGACGCGGCGCGCGAGTGGCGGGCGGCGCGGGCGCCCGGCCAATCGCGGGCCGGACTGGCGCGACACGCCGCCGACAGCGGCCGCCTTTCCCACCGCGTTGATCCGCTCGTCACTCTCATCACATGACCCGCGCCACTGTGCTCCGGTAGGCCATATTTGACAGTGGGCCACTAGTTTAGCGACGTGAGTGACGTGAAGATCGCTCCTCAGGCACGACGATCCCGCGCGGCCGTATCCCGGTGCAACCTGTAAATACCCCCGTGATCGACCCGACCGCCGAGACCCGACGTACCAGGTCACAATGAGTACAGAAGACGCCCCGGTGTACTCGCCGTTCTTCGGCGTTATGGGCGCCGCCTCTGCCATCGTATTTTCTGGTGAGTTTCGACTGTTTGCCCGTCGCCACCTCGTGATCGCTCGCTCGCTCGCTCGCTCGCTCGCGTGCGTGCGTGCGTGCGTTCTCGGAATCCGCGGCGGCGACGAGGCCGCGAGGCGTCTCGCATTGCGCCTCCATGCCGCTTCGCCCGTCGACGTCGAGACGTCATCGACGTCGTTCGTCGACGTCGTCGCCGTCGCCACGGAGCGCGGATACGTCGTCTCTCACGCCATTTTCTCGTGCGGCCGTAAGACGGACGAAAATTGTGTGCGGACAGCACGGCGCGCGCAGATTATCGATCCTCCCCCGCGAGAAGAAACGCGGGGGAGAGCTCGTTTCTCCACGGGGCGGACGTACGCGGCGACGTCATGTGCCGCGAGACGCGTGACGAGCCGCGGCGGTGGCGGCGACGACGTCGTTCCCGTCCGCGATGACTAGGCTCGCGGCATCATTTTGGCCACGTTATCTTATCTCGACAAATTGGCTCCCGTGCGGCCACCGCTCGTTGTCTCTCTCTCTCGTTCTTGCTCTTCGCGCTCCTTCGCTCCTTCTCTAGCTCGCCCGCTCGCTTTCGGCCCGCGGATTTGGCAATTTCCGAGGAAACGCGGTCCAAGAAATCGGCCGCGCTCCCCCTCGGGAACCCGTGGCTTGTTCGCGCATCGGCGCGGAGCCGGACCGGGCGCAGCTATTTCGTAATGCCTGACCTCGGACGCCGCTAGAATTTTACGAGCCTCGGAAAAGCGACGGGCGGACGGCGGAACGGGCGTGCGCCTCGTGCGTGTCACGAGACGCGCCTCCCCGCCGCGCCGCGCCGATCGCCCATCGCACCTCCGCCTGTACCTTACCTGCGCCTTCTGCACTTGCCGCCGCCGCCGCTTCCCTTTGCATTTAGTTTCGAGATTCTTTCTCACCCCCTTTTTTTTCTTTTCCGTTTCCTTCGAATCGCGCGTCCGTCTCTTCCGCGCGCGCTCGTTCGCGGGGCCGCCGCGTATATCGAGCGAGAGGTGTCTCGTCGGCGCGAGGTGTCGCAGGTCGCTCTTCCCTTCGTACGAGGCGAACGCGCTCCCGGCGCAGCGTATCGATTTACAATTAACGATTTTCTCGAATTCGCGGTAAACGGCGACCCCCGGGGACCGCCGTCGCCGCCGCCGCCGCTGAGCGTCGCTTTTACCCCCGTCGGGAAGATCAATACGAATACCTTTTCCCGTGTGCGCCCTCGGCCTTTCCACTGACGGCAACGCGAGGGGCGAAGATCACGAGTCTCCTCGTCGTTCTTCCCCTCCCCCGAGGAAGTATCGGACATCGATCGGCGCTGTCGATCGCGCGGACGTGTCCTCCATCGCCGCCGGATTGATCGCTCGTTTCCCCCCCCCCTCCCCTCCCCCCGGAGTAACCTTATACGAGGAGAGAAAATGTGCTCCGGCGGAGGCATACAAATCGATCGCGCGCCGATTCGGCGGTCGCGTCCGGTTTGCACGTGTCGCCACCGAGAGGAATTTGCCTCCTCCCGCGAAGGGAGCTCCCCGTAGGTGTGACCAGCCTCTGAAATACGCGAGACCGAGAGGTAGCCCACTTGTTTGATCTACCGCTGCCTCGCGCGCAGGACCGAGCACGATCGGCGGCCGGCCACGAGCGCGCCCGTGGTGTTTATTTATACACGATAAGCCGCGCATATGTTCGCGCACGATAAGGACCGCGTTAACGGCGATTAAATGGCCACGATCGCGGGCGTAATCGGAGCAGGACGGTAGGGCCGAAGGTACGAGAGAGAGAGAGCGAGAGAGAGGGAGGGGAAGAGAAGGAAAAAAATGACACGATCGCCTCTCCCAGCCACGCCCCCCTACTCACGAGATGGGACTTGTGCGATTGTCATGTGACCGCCAACGTGAGAATCATGTGACTGCGATTTCCAGGCTGGGCTGGGTACACCCGGCGTCACCTGCCTCTCGCGACTGCGGCGGCGACGATTCTCCTCGCGGGAAGGCGGCAACCGGAGAATGACTCGGGGATAAAAAATGATTTTCGTCGCTTCTCTCCTCGCGTCGCGATCGTTCCGCGACCGTGCTCGATCGATAACCCCCGCAGGCGCGCTCGGCGTTTAAAACCGCCGAGAATTGGCGACGGCTCGCGATTTCTCCCTTTTCGCCCCCGTTTCCCCTCTTTTCGCGAGACTCGTCCTACGACGCCGGAGCCTGACCCTTTCGTGATCGTCAGGACATGCTTCCCCGCTAAGGGAAATTTAACAAATTCACCGCTTGAAGGAGCCTAAGCGCCCGACGTTGAGTTCGATGTTTTATCAAGATCATACCGTTACGTACTCAGGCTACGATAACACATTCAACATTTTTTCTCTCTCTGATTCGCGATTTTCGTTCTTTATCTAAGAATTGCAGCCCTGTCTACCGCAATTCTTGTGAACTAAACTTATCAATTTCTCTCATCATGCCGGTATGATCACATTATAGATACAAACCGAAATAATTATTTGGCTTTTATGTACAAAATAATACGAGACCGGCTTGTGGACTGCACAGTACAACATTTTCATATAAAAAAGCATTGAGGCTCGAAGTCTAATTCGTATCGCATTGTGTATTTAAAATTTTCAAATGTTTGCCCCGAACCAACAGATAATCCTGTGCTTGGAATGCTTCAGAGAGCGAGATATCTCGAACGTTTATCGGTACATTTTTTATAAAAATTATGAAACGATTACTGCGACACGTATCTCTTTGACAAAGTCTAATTATTATATCGTAGATAGTTTGTTGCGTCCCTTTGTACTGTGGGAGAAAGTTTTGAGCAGATAATTGCTTACTCATTATTGTTCTATTAGAGTAGACGGTCTGGCAAACTGTCCTTACATTCAACGTTGTCACTTCAACTAGGGATCGATAAGATTCTTAATTTTATATCCGATCATTAGCGTTCGACTCTGTGTAGAGCCGAGGCACTGACTTGCGCAATTGTGTAAACTTGCGTTACAATTGTCACAGTCCTGCAACTTACCTATTTTGTTTTGCAGCTTTGGGAGCAGCGTATGGCACAGCAAAGGCTGGCACAGGGATCGCAGCGATGTCGGTCATGAGGCCAGAATTAATCATGAAGTCCATCATTCCCGTTGTCATGGCAGGTATTATTGCCATTTATGGTCTTGTAGTGGCTGTACTCATTGCCGGCTCTCTTGGGAAACCCCCTAAATACGACCTTTATAAGTACGTATCTTCTGTGTGGCACAATATACAAATCTGTGGCATTTAAATCTCTAAGCTGCGTTTTACAATACGGTTATAACATTACATTAACATTAATCACGCTCTAACGAGAGAATGTAATACGCTTGTACTTAGCGGGAGAAACGACTCCGCGATTAACAAAGTTTTTTTTCTTCTGCCTAGTGGTTTTACCCACTTGGGTGCCGGCTTAGCCGTAGGCTTCTCCGGTCTGGCAGCCGGATTTGCCATCGGCATCGTGGGCGATGCCGGTGTGAGAGGCACTGCTCAGCAACCACGTCTCTTCGTCGGCATGATCTTGATTCTGATCTTCGCCGAAGTATTGGGTCTTTACGGCCTGATCGTCGCCATTTACCTGTACACAAAGTAAACGGTCAGTAGCGGCAACCTACTCCCTGCCACGGCTCCATGCAAGACATGTCGCCTGCAACCAACAGCGCTCCCCGACTACTATTATGCTGCAAAACTTGTTTCGACATATTTTACTTAATCACGTTACTCCATGCATAATCTAATTACCATCTCGGCTCATCTCTGTGCGTCCCCCTGTAATATCGTACTCAAGAAAAAAAAAGAAAGATTGATCTATTTAGCGTACGGACATTTAACCACGCCACACATTACTTGTCACACGGATTGCATGATTGTATTAAAGGTGCTGCGATCGAGAGGTGCCGGTTTCTTTTCTTGATTTCGCGACACTGACGCGCGACGGCGCATTTCGACGCTGCGGTGTTGTATGAAAAAAAAAACGAATGTATAGCGGAAAAAAATTACGAACGAAAAGAAGCGCGGAAAACAAAGGTCGACAGGGAAATACATATACATATTTAGAGAAAAGATCTCCTGTGTTAATCCCATTGTCGAACATTTCTCTTTCACTGTATAGTAATCATTTATAGCTTAGTACGACATTGAATTACCAGTTAAAGTAATCGGCTCTACTGAGTGTATAAAGGAAAATATGTTACTGATAAAAGAATATTTAGCACAATTATATATATACAAATATATATATAAATATATTATAAATGCAAACCGCGACGAAGAATGATACGGTGGATGAGACTGTAGTAAAAAGAAAAAAAGAAAAAACAAGTATGAATGCGAGTAGTCGATCACAGGTACACACGATAGTATTAAGTAAATTGAGAGAGGCTGCTGGACACGACGGCAATTTCACATTTTTACGGACATTATTCGTGGGCGACGATACGTTTGCGCGGTAAACGAGATGAGAAATTTGAGGGGGGAGGGGGAGAGAATCTGTTTAACCGGGTTGTCGAAGCCGCAAAGGCCAGCGGTCGACACCCGATTATTCGCACGATTTTAATCCGATCCCCCGCATTATTTCCATCGCCGAGAAAAACCGTCGTCGTATGTCGATGAAGTTAACGGGTACAGTGTCAAGTTTATGTGAAACCGTACGTACCAGTGGACACATCAGTACACATATACGCAGAACGAGAGAGAGAGAGAGAGAATGACATGTAAACGGAGGATAATTTGTACATTCCATATTAAGTTCGTTCAGTACAGGCGAGCGGGCGTCTGGCGACAAAATTCGGCAAATCGTAGGCCCTGCGTCACGTTCTTCGAAATCAACCAATCGCACACACACACACACACACACACACACGCACACACATGTGGGACAGCAAGGCCGACAGAAGAACGTGTGTCATCCTGGGATGGATTGTCCTTTGGGAGCTGACAATCGTACCCCTTGTGCGCGCATGGATTTTCAGCAGCCATCGCCTCTTCCCACGATCGTCACTTTTGGGGGTACAAAAGGGGAGAAGAAAGAAAAACCAAGTCCAAAAATGTGCGAAATCAGAACGCCCGCTTGCCATTTTCGACTGCGCAGTATTTTCTACCTAAGAAAGATGCAAACAAGCTCAACGATATAGGTGCATTTCCAGCGAAGAGAGACAGGGGAGGAATCGTTGAATTGAATTGACGAGATCTTGTTAGGCGGAAAAAAAATGGAACGATTTAACAGCATTTGTGGTCTGGAGAACCGCGCCGCTCTCGCCCTGGAAATGCACCTGTATGCATATCTCGCGAGAATACCATCGAAAACAATAGTCGTCTCGACGTCGCACAGTGGTCAGTTTGACCGATCTGAGCGGTGAAAATTATTTAAGTATTCAAATCGACCTTTATTTATAGAAATACGTATATATTATTTAATTCCAACGTTAAATAAACGTATATACGTATTTCTATAAATAAAGGTCGATTTGGATACTTAAATAATTTTCATCGCTCAGGTCGGTCAAACTGACCACTGTGCGTCGTCGGGAACGAAGAACGAGCGATAACAAACGTGGAAGAGAAATTGCAATTTTCCGGAAACTGACGGCGCTTAAAAAAATATATATATGAGAACCGAAAAACTGCACGAGCGAGCCGGGGAGCGGTGGTGGTGGTTCGTTTGCCTCTTCTCTTTTTTTTTTAAATCCTCTCGTTTTCCCCTCGCAACGAGGGAATGATTCTCATAGTCACTTTACGCTCGGGAGAACGCAGGCACGCTAGACACATTTTACCGCCAACTACCCTTCTTCCCTCTATTTCTGTCCGTTGTATATTTTAATATATGTACGATATATCGGGAGCCGTATCGGCGAGCTAAAGGCAAAAAGGAAGAGACCGAGAAAGACGAACCTGGGATTTAATTATAGTTGTACGCGCGCGTGTGCGATGTATGTACATACCACCACGATGCTTCACGCTACGATAATTACAATTTAGGCTAGACCTAGGTAAGGTATTGTATACCAAAACCTCGTGTAGCTGAGCGAACGGTAATTATTCGGGTAATTATACGGGAGAGAGAGAGAGAGAGAGAGAGAGAGAGAGAGAGAGAGAATGAAAAAAGTGTGAGAGAGATGTATGAGAGAAAGATAGATGCACCTGGCAGAGGGAGCAGAGAGAAACCGCTGTCACCACCGCTGCCGCCACCCCCTCCGTTCCCCGCCCTCGCCCTCGAATCCCCAACTCTACTTCTACTATCTTCCAGTGTTACTAATAGACTCATTGTTGAGCGCGAAAAAGTGATACTGATCGACGATGATTATTTATGTTATAATTCGTCCTCGATGTTACAGAAGAACCGTGTTTAATAAAAATTTCATTTGGACAAAAGGATGAGAAAACTTACGGTATCCGGCGTGTTTACTCAACCAATTTGCGGAGGCTTACCTGGGATGAGCGGGTTGCATTCTAACGAGTCCCCAGGTTCGTCGGGGGACTCGCGCCAACTCAAGATGCTGAAAGAAAGAGAGATTTATACGGTCGAGGCGCAATCTACGGACTGTTGAATTAAGCGACTGTATAATATTTCGTCGTTTTCGTTCGTTGATCCCATTCAAGAGGTTGCTCGAGGAAGAGGTCGGTCTGGTCTACACCAGGATTGGACCGCCGTTAGAATTCGAGCCGTTTATTCCGGAAGCACGCTAGGGCCTGTTCTACGATACGTCCGATGTCGGAACGTAGCCGATCGTCCAATGTGAGAACATTTCTTTTCAATTTCTTCGCTACGTTCCGACCTACGACGTTTTGTAGAACAGGCCTGCGAGTCACATTTATCAGGGGTAAACGCGCGACAGCCTTCCGACTTTGACATTAATTTTTCCCATCACTGCCATTCGATCAGGGGCTCGATTCTTGAATTTATTCGCACGATTAACACACGCGCAAATTCTGTTCTCACGAAAAAGTGGCTAGAAGCCATGCGAGACAGTTAATCGACCTGCAAGTTTTCTGTAAGAGCAGAATTTTCGTGTTTGTTTCTCTTTCGAGCCCCAGGGCGAGCGACACGTGCTCGCTTCGATACACTTAGCTGCGACTCTACGCTATATTTTAACGGTACCATCCTGTGCGACGAATTCTGTAGCGCAAACGCTTTGTGCGCCATTCAGTCGGTCGGGAAAAAGAGAGGCAGATCGAAAGAGGATCTCGATGATTTTTCGATAGTTACAAAGCGCGAGCCTGTTTATCCGAATCGCAGACACCTGTACCTCGTTCGCGCGAGCCGCCGCGATCGTACTTGCGTAACAAAGATTCCGCGAGCCGTATGGTAAGCGGTATCGCGAGCGCTTCCTCGTAATCGCGTGACGAAATGTCCTGTTGTTGTCTCCGACGTCTATCTCGACTGATCAATTACCCGATATCACGTGCGACCGACTAGCACGGGCTCGATAAGATAAAATAATTCAATCGCCGTGGAGATAAGAGGGACATTTCCGCTGCAGCTTGCATTTTCTTTTTCTGAGAAGCGCGACGACGATTGTTACGCTTAAACACAAAGAGTAGATCGTCCTAGGAACAGTTTTTATTGACAGAGATAATGGATGCGGTATTTTTTTTCTCATCGGTTTTAATATCCAGCGGGAGGAGGGAGGAACGGAAACACGCTAAGATTTTACGTAACGTGGTTCGATCGTCTGCGAAATAATACTGAGACACGTTACACATGGACCAATCGTTGGTGTGGCGTACGTTCGACCGAGCTGTAATTTATGCGTGGGAGAGTAAATTAACAAAGTCCAAGTACACGCACGCATACACACCCGTACATACACACACGCGCTCGCTCGCTCGCGAAACGGAAGCGAGATGTATCCGCATAGATGCGCTGTAATTCGGCAAACGCGAACGTTGGTCGACGGGAAACATATATAGCGAATGTCCGCTAATTATTACAATAGCGTTACAAACATCTTTCTTCTTTATTCTGTCACGTGCGAGGGAACGACCGGAACGGTCCCCGCAGGTTCCTCGCAGCGAGGATGTGGTCGGCACGCGTCATTCGAAGCCGCTATGATTGCGGGATCCGAGCGTACTTAATATTCCTCGGATCGGGTAAAAACGGGGACGCTACCATTCCTATCGCTAATCCCTTGCCGACAAAAGTGTCGTCGCGTTACGATCTACTTGTTACACCGTCGCTTCGGTCGCGAAGGAAAAAATCCTGGCTCGATCGCATTCAACGCGCGTGTATCCGAGTGCTGTCGTCAAAACTGGCTCGTGAATGATGCATGACAGTATGGCATATTCGGATGAAGTAACGGAGACACGAGGCTTAACCGAGGATCAACGCTCCGATTGCCTGTATTCTTATTCATTTATTTTTATTGAAAAAGACGCCGACGATAAAAGTTATATAGAAGAGAAATGAAACAATCAGGAATACAATATGTACAATATCTTATAACGACAACAAAACCCAATTTCCTCGGCGTCGGTTATTCTCAATTTCTACACGCTAGTTTTACAGATTCGGCGACAGGGACACTAGCCGATTACTACGGAAGCAAATGAAAGGCGCTAAAAGTATAGGAGCTAGGTGTCTCCATTTCGAACGAAGAAAGGAGAAAACGATCGAGCGAGAGTTAGACGTAATATATTATTGCACGGAGCTCTCGTAATTACTGGCGTCTTGAGCCGGTTTGAGAATTATACGACCGCGATCGTACTCGGCGATCTGGTACGGAAGATACACATCTTGTTCTCCATCCATTCGTCTTGATCAATACGCGCGACGACGATTCGCGCGCATTGATCTCATTAATGATCGAGCGAGATATCAAAAACCGTTGCATGTACAAGGTGGGAAATGTGTGCTGAGGTGAGGTGAGGTGAGGTGAGGGTGAGGGTGAGGTGCGGTGGTGGTGATGGTGATCGGTCATCAACGCAACAACCAGAGGGCCATCTGTAATAAATTACACCAAGGCATATTTTATTCGTTTTTTTCCTTTTAAATACGAGTTTTAGTCGTGTCACTAGTGTTCGCTAATTATTACGTTTAAATGGATGTGATGTTGGCTGCTGGTTGTTATTATAACTGTAATTAATTAGTACTTAGTAAAATCAAATGGCGCAGCAAGTAGATACACGGGCAAACATGGGTGTTCTAACGCTCGCACTTGGTGTATCTAGACTGCGATCTAAGGATTTCATTCCTGCATCGAAAAGAAAGTGCTTCACTGTTTACGATACACTACCGAGTGTCGGCCCTTCGTTTCCGATAAATTTCGACGTAAGTTTTTTTTTCTTTTTCCTTTCCTCGTCTTCGTTAGAAAGTTGTAGATATAACTCGGTTATTGATAATCATTATGTATAATAATAATAATCGGTAATAACCATAATAATAATTCCTTGTAATAAATGTAATGCTTGGTACACAGAGATAACAAACGACTCTACTTATTGCCGCGAACAAAAAGATACTTACAAAACGTGACACATGCACAATACTAGACAAAAACTCGGACAACACAAGAATTGACCAGATTAATTTTCTCGTGCTTTTCTTTTTTCTTTTTTTTTTTGCATTCTGTACCGACGACCATACAGTGGCGTAGTATCTTGATTATATCTGCTGGCCCAATATTATATTTTATAAATTATACCGATATTTAATTATCTAAAAAAAATTCTAAAACGTCTTGCCTGAAACGTCTGTCGTATACCACTCGTTGACTACAAACTATCTTATTCCTTTTCAGACACGATTGTAAAGTCCGTTTTTTTTCCAACCACGCGTGAGGGCTTGAGTCAGACTAACAAGATGTTTGCAATTCTGGATGGTGATAACTCAATTAGTAAAACTGAAACACCTCCTGTGGTTCAGCGATATAGTTGATAGTAAAACTCTATTCCAAATCATAGGTAGTCTGAATAACGCTCTCGAGGCTCTTGTGATTAATTCTTTTCATCCTCGTCGTCCTCCTCCTCTTCTTCTGATGCCTCAGCAAGCCAGGTTAACCAGGAGTTTACCTATAAACGACATAAATATTGCTCGCATTAAATTTCAAATCATTCAGTTTGAATTATTCGAGTAAGAATTTATTCACTCTTGATTCTAGAGAAGCTCGAATTCGAGAGAAATATTGACGTAATCGATTTTCCAAATATATTGTTTCGAATAACGTGGTAACATAGAACCAGCTTGATCTAAATTCACAATTAAAAGATCCATGTAAATAGAATTGTACTATGCAATTACAGCAAGAGCGGTAGGAGTTTGAATAAAAATGCCGTGATGATTTCACATTTACCTGGAATAATGCCTTGCCCTTGCCCGGATAAGCATCAGTAACGGTGTCTCTCCACTTGTGGTATGCTTCCTCTTCGATGACTTCAAGGTTGTAGAGTGCTATGAACCATCGTAGCAGCAGCCCTTTTGGAAAGTTGTGCGAGAAGCAGAACACTTGAAGCGCATGAAGAGCCGTAACTTGTGAGTCGATGGTAGTCAGGAATGTGCGAATGAAGCGTGCATATTTCTGCAGTAACGCACTTTCCTTCTCTTGCAGTTGTTTGTCTGGATTTACGGTCGGATCAATACCGGGCGCCAATGTTATCTCCTGTTGTACACATTATGCATTAAAGTAAACGTTAAGATTTTACAAACTAAAGATTCTAATCTCTCATTACTAGTTGCTTAATTATTTTCATTAAAAATATAAGTTTCACTAACCCCAGTGATGTACTTGAAAAGTACATTCATCATAGCATTGATGAATGCGGGATCAGAATGATGTTGGGGATCCAGCTTCTCCTTGATCCATTTGTAAAGAGCGTTGGGCGCCGGATCAGCTTCTAATTGACGCCACATATCACCCTGGATTCTGAGAAGAGGATACAGGAAAGTCAACTCCCGATCTTCCAAGATCTCGCCCAAACGTTCCTTCGTCTTCTCAGCTTCTGGCAGTTGACTGATAAGATCCACCTTGCTATCGTTGAAGATCTGCGTGAGTCTCGCCTTACCCTGGGTCTTGTGGAGTTGCTGTAGGGTCAGTAAGAAAAGCGGATGATGACGTCCATTTTCTGTTTCCGAGGCGAGATCCGTCAATTGGATTAAATTGTCCACTATGGCCTTAGCTGTCAGAAAGGCAACGTGGGACGCTACCAAAGGCACGGTACTCTCCTTCTCCGAAATACTGGCCACTAATTCCTTCCATCCCTCGTTCACTTGCTGCAGAGTAAGCAAGTTCTCCTTTTTCAATTCAACCACGAATTTGGCAGCGAGTTCACGTTCTGAGTCTCCACGATCCAACGTGGTCGCGTACATCGCGCAGATCGCGTGACGCAAAAATCGTTCGGGTATCTTAAGATCTTTGAAAGCTGCCAGAGCATCTTGCACATTTGTGTGGGACACGAGGTCGTCCATTAAGGCATTCACTTTCTTCAACACTTCCTCTCGTGTCGGTCCTTTGTCCTTTCTGTCCCTAGCCTTCTCCCGTTTGTCTACAGGACCTTGTTTGATCACGATAGCAGGTGGTGTCTCTTTGTGCAGTAAAGGCGAGCTGGGCTTCAGAGCGGTAGCACGCAAGAGAGGCATGTCTGAGCCCCGTCCTGGGAACAAATCTGTTGCATTTTTATGATTAATTATTATTCTACATTGATCTTTTGGTAGTAATTTCCTCGACAACTGTCCAAGGTGATGACGCGAGGGAATACTTACCATTGTTGAGAGGTAGGTTCAAGTTGATGTTAGTTTGTTTAAACATCATTGAATTGGCTGACGGTCTTAGAGATACTTCTTCCGGATGTCCTCCGATCAGCATCTTATTCTTGTTGAATCGAAGTTGCTCTTTATTGCTGTCTGTGATAGACAAGATAAGAAATCGTTATTTTGGCACTGTAGCTCATTAGCTGACAATAAGGGAAAGTAAATAAAATTTCAAACGATACTCACTGTTGTTAAAGTTTTGCGGCAAATTATGTTGCGGTTGGTTGCGTTTTCCTTCGTAATTGTTCTGATGACGACTCTGGTTTTGATAGTAGCCTGCTCCTGGCTGATTACGTTGATTATGTCGGCCATAACCAACACCAGGAGTCCCTGCGAATCCATTCGGACTGAATGGTGGTGGTGGCATACCGAATGAAGGGGAAGTCAGTGGTATACTTCCCATCATCTCCACGTCTAATCCGCCTCGTCCCATTTTTCGTAAAAACTCCGCACCGAGGCGATCCTCTCGTCCTCTGTGGAAACCGTTTCCCCGCGATGGCTCCTCGTTGTCGTTGCGGATCTGATTAATCGGCATCGGGCCTTCGGTGCTCGTGGCCTTGCGCGGTTTCCAATCATCACGGCGTAACTCAATCACATCACGCAGCATGAATTTGATGCGTAGAGGAAGATCCCTACTCTCTGCCAGAGAGTTCATACGTTTGAAGTATTGATCCATGAGTCCGCGGCCCTTATCCGAGTCAAGGATACGGCCGCAGGTACGCATAATCTGGCAGAGGCACTCGATATCCTCCGCGGCGTCCCCCCGGGATCCCCCTCGCCTTTTCTTCTCCAGCAACTGCTGGATGCAACGATGTAAAATCGGCTCCGACACGATGCCCAGCTTGCCGAGCTCCCCAATGAACTTGATGTTACCAAGCATCTTGCGCTTGGCCACCTGCCGGCGCTCTTCTTCTTCGGGACCAAGCTCATCTTGATTCTCGAATGCCTCGCTTGCTTTTGAACGATTTTCGAACTCGTCTTTGCACTTGTTAAGTAAAAGAACTCTGAATGTGCTCTGGCCTTTTTGACTTTCATCGATCGGTTTACGGGGTTCAAAGTTTGCGGCTTCGTCAGACAGCTGTTTGCACAGCCGTGCGTACATAGAACTGTACTTGGGTTCATCAAGTGCTTTTTCGAAGATCTGAAAAGTTAAGTGACATTTTATTTCAATTGTTTACATCAATCGTGCGACCAAATAGCGTCACGCTTGTTGTTACGTACCAAGAAAATAACACCCTTGAGAATCACATGGGAATTAAGCTCAACGTTGAGCAGGTCGTTGCTCAGCTTTGCGAATTTTTCCGGTGTGAGCTTGTTAAGAATACCCCGCACCTTTCTAAAGATGAGATCATTTCGGCTTTCTGGGGTGAGTGCATCGCGTCTAACAGTTGAAGGAGGGATCCAGCGTTGCTCAGTGGATAGGGAGCGAATATCGTCCCTGGAAGGCATCGAATTTTTCTAATGTCAGTGTCACAAGTAGCAACGCAACGATTTGTGCGGACGTAATAAGTAATCGCTTTCTCGCGTTTTTTTTTATATATTTTTTTTATATTTTTGCGTTACTGCCAAGGTAACTTTGTGGACCCTGACCTTCCTCCCGAGACACGAGAAGCACCCCCCGGTCCTGTGGGGTTGTCCGTTGTTGCGCGTGTTTTGGCCCCCTTAGTGATAAATCACAGCACACAGATCTTCCTTGAGGAAGCTGGAAAAATTACAACACACGTTAAACATCTCACACGTCTGCCACCAAATATTACTTAATCGTAACTCGCCCTGGGTATTTCGAGTATCGTTTCACGCCTGACAATTCAATTCTCGCGTGGCCCCCCCTGCGAAAGTTCAACACTCGAACCAGCCTACTCGAGATCACGAGTTTCGAAGATCTTTAAACTGTGATCCGAAAGCGTACGCAACCCTCGTCCGCCCCCCCCCCTCCCCTGCCGCGCTAAAGGAGATAAGCGATCGCGAAACGCAAGTCTATCGCGCTCTTCGGCCAGCGGCGACGTGCCGTTGCAATGAACTCGTTCAATAATATTCGAGGACATTCCTTTCATCGCCACCGTGACCTATATGTGCAATTTACAATTCGTAATTGCGCATGCGAGCGCAATTTTAGAGAAGGCTCGATAAACGGCGCACGCGAGTCCTGCGGTTAACGCACTCGGATCAAGTGGCTCAAGGATAGAATCATCAGACGGGACGTTAACGTTTCGTGAATCAACCCGGCCAGTCGTTGCGCAGCAGCCTTTCGAGTCAAGGACCGTGAGAGATATCAAAAGAAGAAAAAAAAAGAACGAACGTCAAATTGCAGATTAGATAGAGTTTCAGCCTGGACGACAATCCGCCAGGGGGGGAAGAGGCGCCACCCGATCGTCCGCGGTCGAGAGGAACGCACCCGGTGGTTTCGGGACACCCCGTAGCCTTCGGAAGGCCTTCCACGCGGACGAGGCAAGGACCTTCTTTCCCCGGGGAAGAAGGCGGCTTTGATCTTGCTCGCCTGGCTGCCCGCTCGCCTACCCGCCCGCAGAACAAAACGATCGAAACCCATGGGGCGAGGGGGGAACGTCGAAGAGGAGCGTATGTGGGGCGCGGCTCATGGTCAGACGGTCAATGAACCCTCTTTCCCCTAACTCCCTCCCCGTTTCACCTCGACCGATCATCTCGCGGACCCCGCCGCCGCGTTCGGCCGAGGTCGGACGACTCCGTCGGGCTGCTCGACGGAGGTCGTGCCCGTCCGGCCGCCTCTACCGGGTGTCCCGAAAGCGCGCGATTAGAATCGGCAAAGAGTGGCCGCCGGCTGATGCGAGCGGTGGTGCCTTGTGATTAACGTGGGGGCGGGCAAATTCTGTTTGAGAGACGGACGCCAGGAGCGAGTGAATCGCGACTGCAAACTGGCGACACTTGCGAGGGGAATTCACGTCTCGCGGGCGTCGAGAAACCCTCCCCCCCGATAATTCGGTCGATCGATCATCTTTCTACGGCCGAATTTTCTACGTCCCGCCGCGAGATATCGTCAAACGTAAATTGACGCGGGCACCTCGCGCACCCGTGACCCAGTGAGAAATGATTCGTCGATCAGGCATCGACACCGTCGAGAATCGACGCTTCGGCGTCGTTTCGTCGACGAATCATTTCTCACCGGGAATCGACGGCCGCGCGTTTAGCACTGGACGTTATAACGAGAGCGCAAGGCTGGGTTTATACGAAAATAGCATTCTCTAAACATTTGGTTTCGACTTGACGGCCGTACGTGGCCTGGCTAAATGCGCAATGAAAATATCCGGTCTCTCACGGACGCATCCGAGCGGCGCTGGCATTCATGCCGCGAGAGCGAGAGCGAAAGAGAGAGAGAGAGAGAGAGAGAGAGAGAGAAAAAAAGAAATAAACCCGTATAGAACGCGCGGTAAATTTCCGAACGCGGGAGACGCGAAGACCGAAGGAAGGCTGCCCTAAATCCGGCCGTCGAAAATACTCGTCAACGTGACACAGCGAAACTCTGCTCCTCGCGCCTCAGACTTTGCGAACTTTGAAACGACGGACTCGCGGAGTGTCACGCACTCGCCACGTGATACGTGTACACATACACACACACATACATGGACACCCACAGGGTGGTTCTGTCCGAATTCTCAGCCCGGCCGGCCGCCACGCGCCGTTTGAAAGTTATCGAAAAGTCGCGTCCACGTGCGCTCGGGTCGCGCCGCGAGAACCATCGACCTTCGAGCTTTTGCTCGCGGTATTCATTTGCATCTGCTTCATAAGCACGTCCCGCGCGTTAAACCGCGACGCGCAGAAACGGATTAACCGACGGCGACACGTGGAGGAGAGAGAGAGAGAAAAAAAGGGGGAAGGAATTCCACGCGACAGCTGCAGCCGGTATCGCCGTGCAATCCGCGAGGTCAGGATTACAGGAGCACGCACGTGTCGGAATTCGCGAGATAATTAAGTAAGAGATATACGGCGAGAGGATGCGCGGCCTTCGTCGCTCGCGCGGCCTAGCTCCTTCTCGTCTCTTGGCACACACAAGTACCGATTTCGAGGCGTGTATTTACCGCCTGGGTGCTTGATCATGAATCTTTACCTCCAGCGCGAAACTCGTGAAAGCCGAGAATGTTCATTGACGAAATACCGAGTTACTCGATGAAATTTTCACGACGAAAAAAAAACGTGAATCGCCAGTAGTCGATTATCTACGTTGGTTAATTTTCTACATTGGTTAATCAGTTACTGGCGTTAAATAATTCTTTACGATATAAAGTAATGCCCACCGGGCATTAGTAGGCATTGGTGCACTGGAAAAAAAATCTGATAGATTCAACCAGTCGTCTGTTAGAAAATGGACGTATTAGAACCCCTTTAGGATTTACCATGAAAGATAACCAGAAGTTTGCCAGACTTCACTACAGATCTGGTAAATCCTAAAGAAATTCTGATTCGTCCATTTTCTAACAGACGACTGGTTGAATCAATCAGATTTTTTTTTTCAGTGTGTACATGGTTTCGGTCAGCGGTTTACCCCTCGGGGAAAGATTCACGATCGCGCCCCTGGCGCCGGCATTGCCCGCTATTTAGCTAGTAAAAAAAAAATGTCCCCGAGGTGCACCCGGCCGTCGCGTTAACGCCGCTTGTTTTGATCGGCCGCAATTCCGCGAATATCCGCGGGTGTCCACGGCCGAGCGGATTCACGCCGCAGAGACTGCATCGCAATAAATGATAAACTCACGATAACGAATGATAAAATATGTTGGACAAACAGTGACAATTAGTAATTCCAACGAGGAGCGTAATGAGCGACGATTCTAGCAGCCAGGAGAACGGAGGACTCGAGTCTCCGAATGCCAAACGATTCCTCTTTTTTTTTTGTTTTCTTGCGGACGTCCAAACGAACGCCACGACGTCCAGTCCGCGTCTCAACCTTTTTTATGGCCGAATTAAATTTTTTGTTTTTAAGTTTCTGTCGATACGGCGTTCCTTGCCGGCCCGGTTTCACCGACGCTGTTCAACTTTGAGGCCCGGTTTCACCAAACGCCGTTTAACTTTAGGCCCGGTCTACAGTGAGTTATCAGTCGTCAGTCGGAAACTGAATGTATAATCGTACATTGTTGAGAAATATTTCAAGCGACGTTGGTGAAAACAGGCCTGAGCTTGGCTCAATTCATTCTTCGTCTCTTTCTGTTACTTTAGAAAGAGACAAACGTTAATTAAACCAAGACTGAAGTTAGGCGACGTTCGGTGAAACCGGGCCTTGGTAATAGAATACACGTTAAATTATCCTCTTAAATGTGGCAAGTGGAACTTTGTGTCCCAGTGGCCGCGAAAGGGTCGATGTCGCGCCGATATCCGCAAAAGCACAATTGTTAGACCACGCACTTTAGAATAAAGACGCAGTTCTCCACGCGTTATTTCCAACGCCGTGAATAATCGCCCGGTAATCTCGCGAATGCGGACTTTCCCGTTCCGATGTTTGCGCGCCGGACTTTGGCGGATTAATTTGCTCTCTTGTTAAGTGGACTAACATCTCCAAATGAAATAACGGGATTAATCGGACGAAACCGGACTCGCAATTAATTTCGCCGGTGAATACGAAAGCCGGGGTCTTAAATCCTCGAAATACGAGACGCAAAAGAGACATAAAGCGACATACCCGCTCGCCGTTGCTAATAAATAAAGGACCGATGTAATAACAGGGTTGGGAAAGTTACTTTATAAAAGTATCTAGTTACAGTTGCAGTTTTTTTCCGCTAAAAATGTAACTACACTGAAAAAAAGTCTGATAGATTCAACCAGTCGTCTGTTAGAAAATGGACGAATCAGAGTTCCTTTAGGACTTACCAGATGTGTAGTGAAGTCTAGCAAACTTCTGGTTATGAAATCATCTTTCATGGTAAATCCTAAAGGAACTCTGATTCGTCCATTTTGTAACAGACGACTGGTTGAATCTATCAGATTTGTTCTTCAGTGTAGCAATGCCCAGTAATGCCGCAAATCTGTACACCACAATGCCCTCAGCGGTTTCCCCCTCGGTCACAAGTAACGAGTTACTTCCCAACCCTGTGTAATAATAAATTTAAACATTGCAACATCTGTCGACTCGTAGTGACAGAAGTCGGCGCGATCGAGAGGCCGCGTAAATAAGCGGGCATATCGATGCCAAAGCCGCGTCATTCGGTTTACGAATAATTTGCAAATTAACGCAACGACCGAGAGATCGTCGCGGTCCGCCTTTTTCTTCCAGTCGTCCGACGAGCCTCGGGGAACCGAAGAGTAGCCGACCTCTCGCGAAAGAGATGGAAAAAAAACTACGGAAATATACCGCGATTTGTTTTCGATCGCCGTCGGACGCGGCGACGCGACGTACCGACGGGGTTCTCCTTGAGAGAAATCGTCATGCACAAGGTGGATGACGACGGCGCACAAAGAGATAGCGACAGAGTGACGCAAGGCGAGCGGGCGAGCGAACGAGCGAGCGAGCGAAACTTCCAACATCCCTCTCGCCCCGCCGGGCGCGCCATTACTTTCCGTTTCCTCGCGACACGTCACTGATGCGCCGTGACGACTGCTCTCTACCAGACCTGCCAGAGCTGCCAACTACAAGAGTTAGAAGGCTGGCCGAGGAGGTGACTCGGACGGCGAATTAATTGCCTTGAAATACATTTTCAGGGTTTCGTACGTACAATCGTAGCGAAGAGTAGCTGAAACTCA